CGGGCGCCGGTGAAAATAGCCCTCCACTTTGTCAACGACATAACTGACATAAACCGAAATAAATCCGCAACCAATGCCCAGCGCAATATAAAAAGGAATTGCTTTTACATTCCATCCGGTAATGTGCTGAAAGAAGAATTTATCAGGATATAAAACTTGCGATACTACCGTACCGGTAGCCGTAGAGATCAGCAATGGAATAAAAAAAGGAATATTAAAATCCAGCAATAAGACTTCCAGGGTAAAAATAATACCTGCAATCGGGCTGTTAAAGATGGCGGCGATACCACTGGCAACCCCGCATGCCAGCAACAGCGTTGTGTCGCGATGAGAAAGGCGCATATCAAAACCGAGATTAGCACCAATAGCTGCGCCCGTTGCAACGATGGGCGCTTCCAACCCAACCGATCCGCCAAATGCAAGGGTAACAGCGCTGGTAATAATATGCCCCAGTACATGCCGCTTATGAATATGGCTGCGGTTGACCAGGATACTTTCAATGACAAACCCCACGCCCCGCTGCAACTTTCCATTAAATACATGCTTCAGTATCAGCAGGCAAAGCCCGATGCCGATCAACGGGAAGATGGCCGTCAGCCAGTTGCTATTCAGCTGGTCGTTCAGTTTCTCAGCCCGGTGTTCGAAAAACTGTACAGATACCTTCAATAAAACAGCTGCCAGCGCGGCTATAAGCCCAACGATAAAAGAGATGATCAACAGGAAATTACGGTGCTTGATATGTTTGCTTCTTACTGCTTCCGCTTTAACCAGAAATTTGCCCAACAACCACTGCGACTTTGACATTTTGCAAAATTACCGGTTTCAACCGGGATAGCAGGACAGAAACAGCAGCCGGCCAACAGGCCGTAATAAATAAAGGCCGCCAGATGGCGACCTTTAAAACGATAATTGATGATGAATATTTATTTTTTCATGATCTTTTGCTGCGCTAAGCGCTCACCATTCATACTTACCTGTAATTGGTAAATACCGGCAGGGATTTCCTTCAGGCTGCTTGTGGTCAGCGTATGCTGCCCGGCTTCGGTTTCAGTGCTGGTCTGATCTACGAGACGGCCGGTTACATCAAACAATTGCAACTTTACATTTCCGGCTTCTTTAGTAGTAAACACGGTAGAAACTTTATCTGTAAATGGATTCGGATAGATGCTTACCTGGTCGGCAACCTTGCTTAAGACATTGTCATGCGAGTGTGATCCGCACTCAGGATGGTACACCGGCGGTACATAACCTTTAAAGGTAGGGATACCCCATGGGTGAAAGGCATGATGCAGGTTGAAGGTACCGCTTGGCCCATCAAAATCATAGAAGCAGGCATACAGAAAATCGGGGGCAATACCGCCAATATCACTGGCCTTGCTATAGGCAACACCCGGACGTAGCGGATAAGGATAAAAAGTGCTGCTGCCGGCATTAGGAAGGATATTGTAATCCGGTGCGCTCAGCAGCGTGGTGAATGATTCATTGAAGTGGAGACCAACATAACCACTAAGCGGGCCATTGG